CTGGAGTATCCCCAAGTCTAGAAGCGCCAGCGCGTTATTGCGCATGAAATGATGAAGAATCCGCGAGGGGCACCACATGGATTTGCACGTTTGTCGTGATTTGAGATTTTTGTTGAATTGGTTGTCCGCAGATAAGGCAAGGCGAAACATCTATTTGGGAGTCCCAGCGGTGCATAAAAACCCACTAGAAAATCTTGAGGAGAACCTTTTATGTTTGGTTGACCACGGGCAGGAGTGGATGGAATGTTGGCGAGAACGACCAGCCTCTTATGAGCTAGAGCGGTGGCTGCAACTTTTGCGGAACTGATATCACAAGACCTTGGGCGATTCCATCATTCCGGTGCTCATGAATGCCACTTCTCCAGCGATTTTGTTATACGCAAAATTTACATCTCGGCTGGAATTTTTTGCCCGCGAAGCTGTCTCTGTGGACTCTTTCGATCTCTGTGGCAGCAAAAGCGAAGAGTGTTCCCTGGAGAACGAAGAGTGGACGCCCACGCGACTGTTTCACAGCGGCCGCCATCCGGTTGGATATTTTCAGGAAGTTCGGATCGTTTGCAAACGACCTCGGCCGTTGAAATTTGGGGCCCCAACGATGGGACCACTCAAGCGTTTGAATGCTTCACACGCAGTGTGTCAAAAGGTGGGTACGAATTCGGTTGGGGCGCCATGCCGCAATGCTCGCTGCACCGTCTATTGTTCGCCTTAGAGGCGTTCTCAATATCAGCATCCTCAGTGGCCAAATTTCTGGGCCGTAAGTCGTGACTGGAGGAGTCGTGGCTCGGATACTCAGAGGGCTGCACTCCCGTGGCTTCCAAATCCACAAGCGCTCAACGGACTAGAGGCGTTGTGCCACCCCAAGGGGTGATTTTATCACCACAAGTGACCGTGCGGTACCACGGCACCACCACAGCATCGGCCCCTTCAATACCGGCCAGGCAGTGCGGAATCACGTGCTGCTGTGGCTGCACTGCTTCTTCCCCTTTTCACCGCCGAGTGGCTGTTGACACTCGCACTTTGTGGTGTGTATACGACATGATTGGGAACTGCTTGGGAATGTGGAGGAAGGGGCACAATGGTGGGCTCACGCCTACTTGATCGATCAGTTGCAGTGTCTGATCCACCGTGCAAGAGGCTGCCCTCGGGACGACGTCCGCGAGGGGTCAACTTCCACGGCGGCCGCCGGCATGGAGCCGCGGAGCGCTTGAAGCCCAGGCATAACGCCGGCGCAGGTGAGCGCACGGCTGTCATCCACAATGGCTTGAATGGGCACTTAGGCCCGTGACTTGACGTCCGGTCGGAACGCGGATGCGGCAAGCGTGCACAGCGGACCAACCCCATGGGGTCGATGGCGGCGCAGAGTCGTCAACGGCGGCGCCGTCGCCTTTCAACGCATCGCACTTGTCGGACAGGGGGGGAGGCTGTGCGCGGAATGGCCACCACGAAGGCGCTGCGAATGAGGGCCAGGTCATTCGAGCTAATTGGCCATCACCACTCCCGGCCGCCAAGGCAGTTCGGTCGGGGGTTCGGTCGCCGAAAAGGACCGTGCATGGTTGCTGCGACGACGGCCGTTCGCTCAGGCCAATAGCGCTCCTGCTCGATGTCCAAGCCCAGGCTCTCCTGCGGCCCTCGCCAAGTGCCATGAGCTGAACCTTGAGAGCACCGAACCTCCAGGCGCGCCGGTGCGCGGCAGGGCCGTTGGGGTAGCTCGGAACGATCCGGCGTGAAACGAGCTTCTCCTTCTTGCCGACGGCCTGGCGATCCGGGTCTCGGTGCCAGCAAGAGCGACGCGCCGCCGGGCATTGCGGGGCTGAGAGCAGCTCCGTGTGAACAGGTGCAACGGGCCGCCCCCGCTGGCCTCCATCCAAAGGCGGCCACCGGGGAGGCGCACGGCCGCCCAGCTGGAGTTGGCACGTCACAGCCCGGCCCTCTTCCGAGCGCTGGAGTTTCGCGCCCCTTTCCGGCCTTTTCCAGGTGGGTGTCCCGGCGCAGGACGCGGCCCCAAGGGCCATACGACAAGAGGAGTGTAACCGGCAACCGGCGGCCCCGAACCGCCTGGAGGGTTGGGAACCGACTCGAGGCACCCCCGTTGTACGAGCGCACAGGCGAACAACCACAACCAGAGCCCCTTTGCCGTCAGCGTCCCGGTGCAACACCGGGTAAATGACCTGCCCCACCAGACTGTGCCGGCGCCGTTCCAATTGCTCCCCGACTGGACCATCCGATGCACGGGATGGGACCACTGCAGCATGCGCGGCAGAATGCCGCCGGACCCCAAGCCACGGCCTGCAGGTCGCTCGCCGCCGGTCAGGCTTCCGTCCTTGCGCGTTTTCGCGGGCGCTTCCCATGAGATGGCCACGGGGGCGCCCGGGGGGGGTTCTGGTGCCCTGGCCTTCTGCCGTGGTAGAGGCCCCGCCCATGTTCAGCGGCGGGACATTAGTGGTGCAATTTGGAGGCCAAAGGGGCCTTCCTTGTCCCGCATTGGGGGATTCATGGATACCAGAAAGTACGCGGCTGAAATTTGGGTCAGTGATGTACGGCGCTCTGTACCTCTGTACCTCTGTTTTGATTAATGGTACTCGTCGTCTCTTCCTGCGCTTCTCGATTTTTCAATGTTCTCTGTTGGAGGTTACACCGTGGTAGGGGATGCAACGAATCCACGACCGCGCTTTCATGACCAATGTGCGGTGGCATTTGCGCGAGCCGCTGTAGCGGTCACAAGGTCAATGGAAACCCCTGTCCATGGTCTGCACGCTTAAGTCTAGCAAGTCATGACAGGGACATTATGAAAGTATCTAAGGTGCACGCAATTTGCTCTTTTCTTGTGTTCACGTGGCGGAATTGTGTGGTGTATTTACTTTCGCTACCACATTCGTTTTGAGGGCTGGGCAAAACACCGTCAAAGCATTCCCCCTCACTAGGAAAAAAAGGGCAGAATAACACGTGTTATTTTGCCTTCTTTGCCAGTGCCCTCCAGCATTCTCCTGTATCAATTTGGTCCCCTGTTTGGGGGTAGTGCCCTTCATGTTCAAATGTCTGACGCTTGTTCACATGTCTGTGTGCTTGGTGGTAGGCTGAGACATAAGAGCTTCAGCTGCACAACTGCGACCTGTTTGTGCAATTAGTGAGCAAAATTGCTTCACCAGCGCTGCATCTTGCAGGCATGGTGACAGACTCGCACGACGGCGTGCTGCGGCAAAGGTGCCTGACGGCTGCAACAGCATTCTGTGTCCTCTGGTGCATCAACTCAAATCTTCTTTCTTTCCTGGAGCTTGGAAATAGACCCGTCATAACAGGTAACAGGAAGGGATGCCACAATAATCCAGATATACTGTTTATTTTGTGGCTTTATTAACTGCCCCGTGGGATTGAGTACTCTGCCACATACTCAATATTGGCATATTCACAGTTGTTTGTTTGCACAACTTTTCCAAACTATTTAATTCTGTTGTTAGCTCGTCTCTATTTCGGAAGTGCTTGTTTCCAAGTTTTGTGTCGTTACGGTTACCTGTTTCTTCAGCATTACTGTGTACAATACGAGGTACGAACATTGTGTGTGTTGGAAATGGGCACCATTCTGTGTCTACAGTGCAGACTTTTGGCGCCATCAACACTGGATTATTTCAAGGTTGCCTGCACACCCTGCCATTTGATGTCCTTGTTGTTATTGGTGGGAGAATTCGCTCCATGGTTCCATTCAGACAATCCAGATTGTTGACAGTAGTGGATTTTTGGCCAGGAGAAGTGCGCAATGACGCCACGGCTGTGCTCACAGATAGAAGGGCCAATTCCTCTGATGTCCCACTGGTAGGGCAGCCAAAAAACTACAATTACACTGGCCTGTCTTCTTTCCTGGTGTGAAATTTTGCTGCCACAGCCCTTTATTTCAAATGGCTGAATGCATTTTCAGATTCTTGAAAAAACTTGGGGAAGATCCACGGATGGGCAGACCTGTAGCCATGTAGGCTTCTGTCTAAGCGATCACCGAATGACATTCCTTATGTGGGCTCGTTTCTTGAGTGTTTGCTGAATGGACACTAAGTATATTTTATTCAGGAGAACTGCCTGTGAAAAATTGCTGCAGTGAATTGTCTGCCAAGCATTTGTATATGTGTTCTGTCACAGAAGGAAATTTACCTGCCCACCATTTGTTGAGAGGATTGATATTGAGGAACTTCAGCAAGCACTTGTGCCAGCCTGATTGCCAATTGTGGTCCCCCACAGGACATGTGGACGGATGCACTAGCTGAAAATTTCCAGTCATTTGTGAGCCTACGTGGCAGTGGCCACCAACACATCTGCAGTGGTGTTGTCATTGATAAACGCTACATCCTATCCACAGCAACATGCGTGGAAGTCGTTGGCCCCAATGCCATCGCTGTGATCGGTCCACAGACAGTGGCTGATGACAGACACACGCTCGGCGTGCAGGTGGGGCAAGATTTGGCAACTGTGGCTGAGCTTGCACAAAGCACGGACATTCAACTGTGTGTTGATGCCGAAATGTCAGAACCCATTGTCATTGGAGCAGTCCATTGACTGCAAAAATCGTACCCTCATGGATGTGTCCAACGGGTACCCCAGCAACTGCATTTTTTGCACTGCCAGCTCCTTGTAAATAGGCTACTGTGGCAAAACCATTGAATGCACAATACCATGACAGAGCAGGGCATCCTGCGCTGAACTTTGTGATCTTTGCAGTTGCGCAGCTGTGTCAGGAACAGGACATTCGACAACAAAATTGCATGCAGAGACATTGAGTAGCACACAAGGAACAAATGGTACAGTTTGGACTTGGTCTCTTGCAAAGGCAGCAAAATGGGATGTCCTATACTGAGTAAAGCTGAACTTACAACATCACTGGCCAAAGTTTGCTTTTCTGAGGTGCAAGGACAGTGGTTTGCCAGCTTCATCAACTATATTCAAGAGGTTGACACTGCCTCAGCTGTTAGTATGGCTGTTTTGTCCTTGTGGTGACAATCTGCTGTTGCCCTGTGCAGGAGGTTCGCGTCGAGAGGGCCATCCCACACCCCAGATGGACTGGGCGTGTTGAGGGTGGATTTGATGTGGTGTTGTTGCGACTTCCACGGGAGGTTCATGTCCAGATGCCCTCACTGCCGCGGCCAGGATCCCCTGGGTTGTACCCCAACTTCATGGTGCATGCATTGAGGCTGGATGACAGATTGGAAACTGCCCAGCTGCAGGTCATTGACAGCAAACTGTGTCCGGAACTGCCACCACTAGGAAAGGGGCAATTCTGTGCATATTCGAGTGGAGCAACCATGACGCCTGGTGAGATAGGATATGCACATCTGACATGGAGCAGTTGCTGGCTGCTGTTGGTTTGGTTCAATTAGGCATGAGCTGTTGTAAAGCTCAACGTGTGGCATGCATATCCATTTCAGAATCTGGGCTGCGGATTGTCTCTGGTTGATCTCCACAGTGATGGGTGTATGAGAATGTGGGATGGTGCGTTGAGGCAGCCACATCTAGCAAATGGCAAACATATACTTTCGGTATGTAGTTGTTCTCCATTTGCAATCGTGCCTCATCGCAGTGCATTCTCTGTAGAGAAGCATTGGAGCAGAGCTCCTGATGATATGGCTTCTCATCCAGTGCCATCCAACCTACCGCTCTCTAATGGAGCAAGTTTGTTCTAGGTGTACTAAAGTGGGACATCCCTGGCCAATCGTTGTAACCTGAGAATGTGGTCAGAACGCACACCATTGCAAAACCCAAATAACGATATCAGGTTTGTGTTTCTTTATCGAATTGTGTCATGGTTGGCTAGGAAGTGTGCCTCTTCACCATGTTGTAATGCCACATAGTCCTGTTTCTGGTCCATCCTCATCCGATGCACCTACAGAATGAATGCACAGCAGAAGATCAACTCCCTAAGAAGGCTCGTTGCCATGCTGCTGTGCATATGTGTGTATGTGGTTGTGATAGTTGGCCTGGGATCTGTTTGGTGCAGGCACCTCTGGTGGCCCCCTTCTGACATACAACCAACAAACTGAGGCTGGTGAGCTGGGTGTCGTCGTGGGCATCGTATCATATGCCAACTTTTCTGCACTGGACAAGAGCGGGGTGGGGTGCCTGCTTGTGAGGGATGTTGTTGACTGGATTGAGGACATCATTTACCATAAGGTCAGGGAATGAATCGATATTGGGAAGGAGACTATGCTTGGTGCTGCAAAGGGACTGAAATCCAAGGGCTGTCGCAGCAGTTTGGCTGTGTGTCAGTTGAAAAATTTGTTCCCATTAATTGTTGCTAGCACACATTTGGATTGTGCAAGATGTTAAGTTTTGGCAAACCTGCCTATATGCTATATGTCGAGCTTGACACCACTTTTCAATTTCTGACCCTGTTTGCAATACTGTTGGTGTGCAGATGCCATGTGATTTCCCATGCACGCAACCAGAGGCTGGAGTTTGGTGTTGTGTTGTTAGAAAAACACTTGTAGCAAACCTGCATGCAAGGCTGCCCACTAAACTGGCGCCCACATGGTGCAAAAAAACTCTAGAATACTTACCCAAAGCTTTATGTTAAGCATTATATTAAGCGTTGTTTTTACTTTTGCAACTGCTCTGCAGCCACCTGAAGTGTATGAGATTAGTTTTGCATGTGGAGCTGCTGCAGATTGTTTTCTAATTGTTGTGAGTGTTGCCATAAATCGTCACATCCTGTCGGCCATAACATCACTCCATATGTCTTTTATTACAATGTTGTACAGCACATCAGGAGGTGCGGGAGTAAGAGTGAGGAGTAAGATTCTCCATTAGGCCAGTTTCTGGCATGTGTCGTTCTGCACCCCGGGTGATGATAAATGTGCTGTAGGAACATTCTGAAATCGTGGTTTTCTGCCCCTTCAGGTCGCCGTCAAAGTTACCTCTGCTGTACCAGACTTGGTGAGTGTGTTGCTGTAACAAGTCCTATAAATACAGAACTTGTCTTTAAAAGGAGCAGCTGCCAATATCGGAAACTTATTGCGATGGCAATAAATGTGCCTGAAAAGAGCTCTGGTAAGCCACTGCAGCAGTCGCAGCATACTGGTAGCAAGTCTGCAAGTTTTGTGGGAATGGACATGGACACCATCTGCTTTGAGGCCCAAGTCCAGCGAGCACTGTATATGATCTGAAGAAAAAATTGGGAAAAATGATCGAACACTACTGAACTGGCTTATGCACGTAGGCGAGAAATGCCAAAGTTGAGAACCTGAACTCGAGGTGTGGGTGTCATGTGGAATGCTTAAGGCATACACAATGGGCAGATCTCCGCAGTATACAACATTGTGCCCCCTGTGATGCTGTGCATTGTCACAGTACTTTGGTGCTTTGTGGCTGGGTGAGAGTTATTTGTGAGTTTCATATATTGCTAAGATGGTCGGATGCAGAGTGTCACATTATCCTGTGCCATATACTACTTTTGCTTCAAAAGTCTTGTCCAGTCTTCAATTCGTGCAAACGGAGGTCGAAATGTGCAAGTCAAGAATTTTGACCCAAAAATTCCGAAGTGCCATAGAGAGAACTATTTGCGGAGCTATCAAACGTAACAAATGGCCCAACCATTATTGTGCTACTCGTTGGGACCTGGGCTTGTGAATGGTGAACTCGTCATTTGCAGAAAAAGAACCAAGTAAACTTTTGCGAACATGTTGTGGTGCGTAATTAATATGTAGGTACATTTCAAACAGAACAAAGCTGGAAAAGCAATTAGAATTTGCAGAGTTCATGTCAATAGCTCAAAATTTGTGGCAGAGACTGTGGCCACAGCAATGAGACGTCTATATAACTGCAGAACCATCATCAACTTGGCACACGCGCCAAGGTTTGTGAGGCTGTGCATGCAGACGCTGACCAAAAGGAGACCTAAGCGAAGGCCAATGTGGCCAGGCATTGGAAAAGACAATTTGGAAGCAAGTTTCGACATGGTGGAAAGAAAATGGGAGCAGTAATGGCAAAACTGTTGAAAGGTTGTGGTAGTGCCCAATTGTTGTGTGAAGAAAGAACTCTATGACGATTTTGGCAAATAGCTAGGAGCATACTAGGATAGGGTGCGCAAAACAACGCGGAAAATGGAGGCCTGGACGGGAGTGGACAGGGATGCTTTTGGCAAGGCTGTTAATGTTTTTCTATATGGTGACAAATGCACAACCAAGCAACATGTCAAACAAGGATCAACCAAAAAAATCCGAATCTGGTGATGGATTAACTAATTGAGTTCACCTTGAGAATATTTGGCAAACGATATTTTGGAAATGAAGGCAGAGTGCAGTTGATTGGCCAGCTTATGGGGCTTTCTGTTGGAGTGGCAAAACATGCACCAACGTCACTGGGTTGTCGCCAAAACGAACAGCGGCATTTTTATTTATATTCTGAAGTTTTCACAAGTTGCCTATCATCTTGGTGGTATTATGGCAAACAAGTAATGTGCACAGCCAGCAAACCATATTTCTTAACTGCCAATGTAGGCGCTCGTGACATGCTGCATTGAAGTTCTTGCATTGTGGGAATAAAATAAACAGTCAGGGGCACTGCCTACTTGCGCAAATTTGCAGGCAAACGCCATGGCGTTGTGCAGAATGCTAATGTTGTTCGTGAAGGTGTTGCCTTTGGTTGCCTATTTCTTCATGCCCACCATGGGACCAAATGTGCATGAATGACACGGGCCATTTATGTCATTTTTATAATTTACCTCTTGATATTTTCATTATCACTTTTTATGACAATGTGCGATAAACATTCGTTGTCTTGGTTATGTTCCAGGTCGAATTAGGCAGGACATTACTGTGTGTGGTGATTTCAGCCGTAGCCGGGCTTTGCTGGATGTATCCCAAGCATGGCGCAGAGCAAAACCAGAAGAGTCGCAATCATCAACTTGCGGCCAAGGGATGTGCAGGTGAGCCGCACAACGTTTGACCATTGGCGCAGATCTGATGTTTGTTGCATGTCGTTTTGTGAGTTTCGGGGGCCAAGAATTGCTCTAGAATGAGAATAACCGACAGGTTCCTGGATGTCCGGTTGATTCTTCGTACAGTCTCTGAAGTAAGAACCCCAAATCGCGCAATCCCATTGATCGGAAAGAAAAAACTACTCAGCGAATTTTTGTGTCGGTAACGTGGGCAGATTCTAAAGGCCAAATTGCACCTGAACCGCATGAAGGGCACCTCGGACAGCCGCAAGGGGTGTCGCAAGTCGATGGTGGGCATCCAGCCCAAAGCGTGGACGCAGGGCAGATGTCTGAGACGGGAAACCTGCCAACAAAGGAGAAAACAGTGGGGCGCAGTGGCCTACCATGTACGGTGAACCAGATCTATTGCTCGGCGTTCTTTGTCTCCATGCGTTCTTCTCCTTCCTCTGTTATTTCTTTTTGGCCTTTCGCCTTGTTATTTTCGTGCTTTTAATTATTGCCAATCTCATTTGTTTCGCCTTCTGCCGCCGCTACCCTTGGCACATGAATAACTTACAGAATGGAGAAGGTGCTGAGGTCACAAAGGGCTAACTGGCTGCACTGCAGATCTGATAAGCATTTCTGTCAAAAAGCTGAGGGCATCAGTTGTGCAGGGCCGTTTGGCACCAATGCTGTCAACTGCTGCAGGGCACATGCAGTGGATAGTTTCCTGTACTTGTTCTGTTCACTTGACTGATCAGTCAATCACTTTTTTTGGTGATAAATGTAAGTAATGTTTCATTCCCTGTCCAGACCCCTCCTCCGACCACTGCTGGCTTTCTGCTGTACTGTTGTTTATCCGCTCCAAACATCGCTGCCAGGGGGGAGTTGTTAAATTGGAACGCTCATGTTGACAGTTTTTGGCACCTGTAGGAAATGCCCCTTTCTCATCGACACCGTTGTGTATCACCGAAAACTACGCAATTGACACAGTGTAAATCCCAAGCCACTGGGGCAGCCACAGAAATGTGGGCACGGCCTTTTCTCACACGGCCGCTTGCATGGTCGCCCTCAAGAATTTCGTGAACAATGCGCCGTAACTCATTGCCAGCTTTTCATTAATTCATTAATTACTTTGTGTGGATTGTTCCGAAGCTGGGAAGAAGATGAGGGCGATGCTCAAGCCTGGACATGGGCGAAATCCTTCTAGGAGGACATCTGGGGATGGTGGAGAAATCCCCAAAACTGTTCAACAGGATTTCGAGGAAGGAACTCGGTACAGACTGGGGCGGATGGTTGATCAAAGTCTACACGTGTCATCTGTCCCCATGCTTGAGCAGTTGAGCGTTGTGTTGACAGAATTTTCCAACTGGTGTAAGTTGAAATAGTTCAAATTGCCACAGCGGGACGCACATTCAGGGACTTTCCAACAGGGGCTTATTTATTGTTGCCTGATTGAAGACAGGGATTGAGATTCTCCCGGTGGGGAAACGCCAGTTCGAAGTTTCCTGCTCGCTGTCGCCTGAGCAATGACCCGGAAAGAAGGAGTTCTACGGCAAAAGCATTGTCGGCAGGGCGTCATATCACGCACGTTGCGTTGAGGAGCATTCCTAAACGAGCTTGGCAAATGACGTTGTTGAAATGAAATTAGCAGATCATGCATGTGTGCCACTGCTAGTCACCTAAACAGCACTTTAGAAGAATGGGCAGCCTCTACTGGGAACGAGCGTGGTGGCACATCTGCAATTCCTGACCACAATCGGCTGCACAGAGATAATGGGGGTGGATCAGTTGAATGTTGACGAATTTGATATCTGTCATGGGACGCATTGTATTGATGATAACCTCACCCATGCCCACCAGTGGAATGCATTGTAACTTGTAGCTGAGTTTGGACTCAGCTTGCCTATCAGGGAACCACTTTGGCTGCACCCTACTCGCTGTCAGGCGCCACGGCCGGGGTAGGCATCCCGGTTCTTGAGTTAATGGGTCCCATCAGCCTTCTGTATGATGGGCGGACTCCATTCAACAGGGATGTTCCTTTGCTGTACCCTGCTATTCCTTTCAGGAAGCTCATTGGCAAGATACCAAATCGAAATTAACTAGCCCGGGGGCATCGAAGTGTGATGGTCACGTCCTTTTAAGAGTAAGCGTGTGGGAAACATGCGCTTGGCTTTTGTCGAATATTTTGTTTGATGGAACTGGGCGGATACACGGGGGAAGCGAATGGCTCTGACTCGATTTGCGCCACGGCCAGCTTTCGTATTCATATCAGCAACGATTTCTGGCTGCATGTTCGTTGCATCTTAGGCGTGCGTGCAACAATTGAATGCGCGCATAAGTGCACAGACACAATCGCAGTGCCCAATTGCAGGTGCGAGGCTCTTGATGCTTTTCGCGCTCTTTCTTCCTATCATGGACTGCTGGTGATGTCCAATGGAAAAAGCGGCCATCTCGAACAACGGCGATCGTGTCGACGCCTCCTCTTGGGCAGTGATCATACGCTGTTGGGCTTCATCAAGCTGCATTACAGAACGCGAGGTGAGCAAAAGAATGCAGCCACGGTCAAAGTCGACAGCACTTAAAACAAGTGCACAATGTGCACGTTGGCAAGGCGTAAGGCGAAGTGGCACAATTGAGACTTCCAACTCTGCAAGAGGCTCTGCCCCAAGAGGTCAGGTGATAGAACTTCGCTTAGAAAGGTGCAACCCTTGAAGGGCCTCCGTGTTTACATCCCCAATAGCTTTCGGAGGCAAGCTCTGTGGGTGTCAGCAACGAGCAACCGACAAACAACAGCTCGCGAATCAGAAAATGGAAACAGAAAATTTCTGTCACTTGAGAAACTGGCACCAGTCCAACGCGGATTCGGTCAGACAAGAGCCCAGTGGGGACTTCTCTATGCATGCTCTGAGTTCTTGCTGTCTTTCAGAAGACATTGTGAGCCTTTGAAGGCATACATCGTCCAAAATGATCCAAAATAATCTGCATATTCGGCGTCTGAATTGTTGTTCCGGTGATGATCAACCCGGGCGGATCA